GTTCTTGTCCCCGGGAGGCCGGAGCTGACCATCTGTGACCCGAGGCCGGGGTCCAGCTGCACTAGAACCCAGCTCTGCTGCCCCTGGCCGTCTCCCCACAGCAGAATGGAGGGGACCAGATCAAAGCTCTCAAGAATCTCATTTCAAAGCCGGGAAAGCCCTTTACGACTCCGCCCGCACCCGATGTCCACCTGTAAAATGAGATGAAAGGGCAGCGCGGGCGCGGGTCGCCTCCCCTGCAGGCCCTGGCCGCCTCCAAGACCCAGGCCCTGGCCCTTTAAAAGTCTCCGTGTCCCAAGGGGAGACTTGGCCCCCCAAGCATCGCTGGGCAGGACAATGGCCCGGACCTCTCCCCGCGCGCCCTCAGCCCCGTGCCAGGGAGGCCTGGGCTCGCCAGTGCTGGGACGGTGCTCGCTGCCCCGGACAGCTCCCTGGCCACGCCCTCACCGCCCGGCCAGCGCGCCTGCCCATCTTCCAGTTACCTTGCTCCCTGGCCCCTCTCCACGCACCCAGGGTGCCCAGGATCGAGGCGCTATTTAATCTTAACAGCTAAAAAGTCCCTCTTCTTGGACACAGGGTGCTTCCCGCCCTGCCCTCRGCCAGGGCCAGCTGGCCGAGGCCCTCCAACACCGCCTGTGGCCGCACATGTGGACTTAGACGGGGCCTTCCTCCCCCCTCCCGTTTCTTCTTCTCCTTCTTTTCTGCTTATTGGCGTTTCCGATTCTGATCTGTCGACATGTGCATTTGTGCGATGATTAAAAGGACACGTGGACAGCCGGCCCCCAGCTCCAGCCAAGTCAGATAAACAACCCGACGAGTAAGCACGATTCKGAACGGAAGGCCCAGCCTCCGCTGCGAGGCTGCATTCTGGAGCCTCCTGTGCCAGGCCCCGCTCTGCTGCTGTGTTCCCCTCTGAGCGCGGGGTCTGGGCGCTGGGTCTGGCTGGGTGGCCCCAGCTAACACACCAAGCCTGGCTGGGCCAGGACCCAGGCTATGGGTGCTGCCAACCACATCTGGGGAGCTCCCTGTTCCCAGGTGAAAAGAAGACGACAGGAAGCACCACCTGACCCCCACGTCCATGAAGGGACCACATCCGTCCAGCCCAGGACCTGGTGCTGAGCCCTCCATCTCCCTGCAGATACCGTCGTTCACACAGGGCCACCAGCTCTACCTTCACAGTCCATCCCTGTCCCTCCAGCCCTTGCARTGGCTGCTGAGGCCCTCTGTGACCTGCCTTCCCAGCCCGCCCAGCCCACACCCTTCTCTGGCTCTCTCAGCTCCTCCCCACCTCAGGGCCTTTGCATGTGCTCTGTCCTGCACTGGGATTCATTTTCGTCCCAGCATGCCCAGGGCTAGGTGGGCCAGTGCCCAGGGTGAGGGGAGCAAGGAGGCCCCCACTGGATACCAGACACCCTCGAGCAGGTCTGGGAGCAGGTCCTYCTGGCATCCCACACACCGGTGGCCTCTGATGCCCCACATGACTCCAGTCCTGCACGCGCCAGATCCGGTTCCTCTCACTGTTCGGTCTCAGCTTAAATGACCCCAACCTCCACAAGGAGCCTCGCTGACCTCAGACGACRGCATCCCTGACACCTGTGTTTCTTCCGTGTGCCCATCTCTGCCCACTGGGTGCCAGGCTCCTCGAGGACAAGGACCGCCTGCCTCCTTCTCAGCCCATGGGGACAGGAGATGTCCGTGGGGCGAAGAAGGAAGGATGAAGGACCAAGGACCAGTGGGGGCAGAGGCGGGACTGGCCCCAGGTCRCCTGGCTGCCAGCCCTGCTCGGCCTGTCCTGATGGGGACCCGCTGCCCAAGGACAGGCCTCCCGGGGAAGCTTCTGGGGGCAGGGGCTGGGCCACAGCCCGGGGTGCAGCCTGGGCACCCGCCCCGCAGCCCCCCTTCCCTGCTCCACATTTTATTTTTAGCAGATTTGGGCACGGCCTCTCCTTAGGAAAAGTCCGAGAGCTCAGGGAGGCGGTTTTGGAATCCGGTGGGAAAGTAGGCCAGGCCGGCGCTGGCCGCGCTCCAGGCGATAAGGCCTCCKCGAGGTTAATAACGTGCGGCCGCCACAGAATTCATGACCGAGAGGAAGCAGCAATTAGGGGATTGTGCAACTCGGGACAAGCCTCCCTCGCAGCTCATAAAAGCCAGGAGGAGGAGGCGACGCTGTCACCCTGGGGCGCGGGGGCCGGCTCGGACTTGGGAGAAAGTCCAGCTCTCTGCTGGGGGCTCGCGCCCCTCTCCCCCGTCACGCCTGGCCCGGGGAACCAGGGGCAGAGCGGACACCTCTGCAGGCCAGCTCTTCCCAGGGCTGGGCCCGGAGCCACCAAGGAGGCGGGCACTGCTGTGCCGGGAGTGGCCCAGCTGCCCTGTTTCGATGCCGCCTTGTCAACGGAAGAGGCTCTGATCACCAAGTGAACGGGGCCACAAACATCCCTGCCCTCTGTGACCGTCCCCTCCTGCCCTCCAGTTACTGGGAATTTTCAGTTTCTCCTGTTTATTCCTCTGCTGCTTGGTGTTCCACGAGCACTGTTTGCTTTTATCATCAGTTAAAAAAAAACCCTAGAGTCTTAAGTCTCCCCTTTTCTCTTCTTTGACAAGCTACAGCCTGGAACGCTCTTCCTCTAGATCTCTCCATGGCTCCCCCTCGCCTCCTTCAAGTCTTCCCTCAAACCTCGGCGTCCCATTAAGGTCTTGGCTGCCCGCCCTCTGGAAACAGAACCCCCACCCCCACCCCCACCCCACCCCCCACCCCGGCCTTCTCCAGCCACCTTCCCTTCATCTTTATCAACAGCATTTATCACCAATTAACCCCTGCCACGCGGCTCATTTTAGACTGGTTCCCGCCAGGACATCAGTGCCAGCTGCAAAGGGTGTTCCGTCCATCTCGTCCTTGGCTGCAGCCCTAGTGCCAGGCACAGCGTGGGGGGATGGGCAAACACTGCTGAGGGGGTGAATGGATGCTTCCTACTGGCAGGACAGACCCGAAAGCTGACCCCTTGCTGGTCTGGCTGGGGGCTGCCTTGGAGTGTCCCACGGTCAAGCCCTGGATGCGGCTTGTGGGTTCAGAAATGGGGCAACAGGGCTGGTGGGCAGCTGGGGCTGGCCCAGTGTTCGMAGCTGGCCCTGTTCCCCTTGCTCAGGGCCCAGTTGGGATGGCAGCCCCCCGTGCCTGGCCTTTCTGGAGAGCTCCTGGCCACTTCCACTGGGAGTCTGAACGTGGAGACCCCCGGCTGCACCTGTCGCCAGCATGCTCAGGCTGGGGGACCAGAGCCACAGTGGGAGCACGCACCGCCACGCACGGCCGCGCACGTCCCTCCCCGCCGTCCCGCTCCAAGACCTAGCCTGGGCCGCCCAGGCGCCCGTGGTCATGCGCATGGCGGCACAGCATCGAGGGCTTGGCACGTGGGCGCTGCGGCCATCCATCCCGGCCGTCCACGCCCAGTGCACGGGAGCCGTGCACACCCACGATCACACACGCACCCCACTGCAGCCACCAAACCCCGGCCCTCTCCACGCCGGTCACCCAGACGCACCGACACCCCCGCAGGAGCAGCCCCGCCCCCCGCAGGCAGGCCACGGTGCCGGCCTGACCCCGCCTGACCCCGCCGCACCCCTGACCTCTCGGCTCCAAGAGCCCCGCGTGGGCCAACCGCACCGGCCAGCGCCCGGCAGCGGCTGCGTGATGCCCACGTCAGTCCTGACTGTGCCGCCTCGGGGCACGTCTGCCGGCGCGTCTGTCCGGGCACCCGCCCACTTCCTCCCTCCGTGGGCGGGTGGCCTGCTGACATCAGGCGTTTCTGGGCCTGCCTGGCACCCAGTGGACAGGAAGGAAGCGATCCGCCGCCGGGAGCCGACCCCAGGGCCCGGACCAGCCTGTGGCTGCGCTCCCCGGGTCCCTGCGGCCACATCTGCCTGCCCTTCCCTCACAGGCCACCGCGGCGCCACTCATGAGGGACCGGGCTCTCCAGAGGAGGGCCAGAGCGTCCCCTTCCATCCCTGAGGATAGCAAGGCCCACGCCCAGTGTCCGTGGAGCGCAGCCCCAGGTTGGCCCTGCCCCTGGGTCCCCAGAGCAGCCCCCGTGGCGTGCACACGGCCCTCCCCTCGCGTCTGGCAGGGGAAGACAGGTGCAGGGAGGTCGCCTGGGCAGGCTGGCCCCGCCCCCGCCCCTGCGGCTCGGTGCTGGTTCGTCCTGTTCTGTGAGCCTCCCCACCCAGCCTCCGCCGCTGTCATCTAGGRCCGGTGCTGGCCCAGCTTCCGGAGCCCCTGCGACAGCCCAGGAAACCGCTGCCCARGCCGGGGCAGGGAGGGCAGCGCCGGCTTCGCGGGCGCAGGGCGCTTCTGCAGCTGCCAGTGTCCTCCTTCATGTGCCGAGGCCTTGGGTGGGACCCGAGGGGGGAAGGGCCTTGAGTTGGTTCTGGGTCCCCAGCGGGGCTGCGTGGGGCTCTTGGTGGCACAGAACCCGTGTTGACAAGAGCAACGAGCACTTCTGTCTTTTCATAATAAGTGACAGAAAGTCACCGACGTGCGGATTCCGTCTGATGAGCTTCCACAGATGCCCAGGATCACAGAACAGGACGAGAGCACGCGGAGCCCAGGGCCCCTCGGCCCCAGCAACTAGCCCCCACCACCAGGTGCCCATCATGGCCGCAGGTCACTTTCCTGCCCCCGGCCAGCTCCTGTGTCCCAGCACAACCCCCACCAGTCGCGCTGCTTGTGCAGAGGCCATCAGGTGCTCCTTGCTGCTGCCCAGTGGGGTCACTRTGAGAACAGCCCGTGGGGGCCATCAGCCCCTGGGTGGCCCTCTGGGCCTCTGGCTGCTGGGCACGTGGGTCAAAGCTGCCCGCTGGGGCTGCAGGGACGCAGGCTCAGGGAAGTGTCGGGAAGGAGACCACAGAGGCCCTGGCAGCCACCATGAGGGGAGATGAGGACCCCGAGGCACGGGGAGGGGGCAGCCCCTGGCCCTGGGCACGTGTGACAGTGGAAAGCTGGCCAGAGCGACAGCAGCAGCAGCAGCCTGCATTTATTAGACACCGACTGAGTTCCTGGCCTGGTTGTAGGCACTCTGCCTGGCCACACCATCAGTCCTCCCAAAACCCCATCATCTCCCCTTACAAGTGGGGAAACCGAGGCACGGGTATGCCTTACCCCTCCAGGTCACGTGGCTGGTGGAGGGGAGACCTGGTGTGACTCGGGTATCCGGCATCGTCATGTTCCCCAACCACAGGCCGAGCCTGGTTTGGGCCCCAGTGGAGCAGGTCTGGTCGGGCCTGGAGCGATTTCCGTTTCATGGTCTACTCCCCACCTGACGGCGGCTGGTCAGTTCAGGACTGCAGGGCCAGGTGCTGGGAGCAGGCAGCAGGGTAGAAGGCCAACAGCAGGACTCCAGATTCAGCTCAGGAATCCTGGCCAGGATGCGTCCAAGCTGTGTGACTTTGGATCAGTTACTTAATCACTCTGAATGTCCCCTTCCTCACCTGTAAGACCAGAGACCACGACAAAGATGATGACCTGATGGGGACTGGGGGACTTGGAGGGAGGACYGGAGGTGACATTTACCTGCTATGGGCCCTGCCTGGGGCCTCTCATGCTTAATCCAGCTTCATAGCACCTTGCAGACAGAGGCCACATGGGCCCCCTTTACTCATAGAGAAATAGAGGCTCTGAATACCGCGTCCACCAAGAACGTCAGACACTCGGTCCTGCTGCACGTCTGCCTAGAACTCGGGCTGGAATGTCCAGCCACAGGGGAATGTGCTGGGTGGGGGACTGGGGAGAGGCAGAGCCCCTCACTCCCCCACAGTCCCCTTGGCCTCAAAAATGGCGCCTCTGTCCTTCCAGGCCCGGCCCAAAGCCTCACGTCCTGCTTCTCCAGCCCGCCCCCCACCCCTTCCAGGACCACACAGCCGCGGGCTCCACCGCAGCTCTCCCGGTGCTGCCTCCGCCAGCCACCTTCTTACTACCTGAAGGAAGTCAGGTCCCACCCCTCCTCTGCTCAGCATCTTCCTGAGGCTCCCAGGTAGCCCAGAAAGACAAGGTCCTGGTTGTCCCCAGGTCTGGGGTGGCTGCTATTCCCATGTCCCCTGCCTGTGTGCTGGCTCCCTTCAAGCACGCTAGCCTCCTGCTCCCAGAACACACTGGGCACTCCACGGCCTCAGGGCCTTTGCACCTGCTCTTTCCTCTCCCTCTCTCCCTTCCCAGAGGTAGCCAATGAGCACCCTGCCCCAGCTCCTCAGGCCTTTCCCAACTGTGAACGTGTCCAGGGGCCTCCTGGGCCACCCTTGAGGTCAACAGGTCCCCTTCATCAGTGCTCCTTGTCCTCTTCTTCCTTCTCTCCAAGTCGCCCAACCTCAGTTAACACACAACAGTTTGCACTTATTAATATCATCATCGTGACAGTTCTGAGCGTCCTGCCCCTGTGCCCCGTGGCTCAGCTGGCCCGGGTGCCCGAGTGCCTTCAGCACCCCGCCTGCCCCTGAGTGCTGGTCTAATTGACGTCTGTCCAATCAAGACTGGCGACAGGTCTAGCAAGGGGCCGCCCAGGTCACCAGGCTAGGGCACTGTGGGGGGGGGGGCTCTGAACCCAGGCTGTGCCCTCAGTCTGCTGGGGCCCGCTCAGGTCAGCACCCCAGGGACGATGGCTGTGTCACAGTCTTAGGGCAACAATCCCATCCCCCCACCCCAGGAGAGCCATTGGCCAGGAGAGAGAGGTCAGGCGGGCTGTGGCCTCCAGCCACCAGGAGGTGACTCATCCTTCCCGTGATGACAGGTGACATTCCTCCTTGTGCCCAGGGGGACTTTGGCCTGAGATAAAGGGAGCTGGCCTCCTGCTTCTGGGAAGAGGAGGACAAACAGGTGGGCGAGGCCTCCTGGCCACTGTCGGGGGCTGCAGGTCTGGGCTGGGGGTCGTGAGCGGGCAGCCGGTCTGGCTGGTCCACTGTCTCCCGCGGGTCAGACTGGGCGTGAGTCCTGCCATCTGGAAGACGGAGCCTTCCCTGAGAAGCTGACTCCCTTCCAGGGTCCCTCCACCTGCCCCCGCGTGGCCCAGAGGAGGCCGGGCCAGGCTCCAGCTGTAGTGTGGTTCTCCTAGAGGAGGCTGAGCTGCAGGAGGGACACTGGTCACATAGCTAGAGACGGGCTGAGTCCCGGGGAGTCCAAGGAAAGCACAACAGGTCCCAGCGGCCGCGTGCAGGTCACTGTCACCTGGTGCCAGAGACGCGGGCTCAGCAGGCCTCAGCCGCTGACTTGCCACGATGTCCCCAAGGGCCAGTTTCCCGGTCGGTCTCCCTCTCTGGGATGTGACTTCCAAAGTGCTCTTGGCTGCCTGGCACCTGTGCTCAGCCAGGGCAGGAGGGCAGGGCCAGGAGGGGCCAGCCCAGGGGCTTGGTGACCTCCTCGGAGCCCCGCCCAGGAGACTTCTCTCTCGCAGGCCCAGGCCTCGCGGCTGCAGGGAGGCTGGGAGGGGTGGGGTTCCTGGCACGTGGCACCCACTCTAAATCGGGGTCCACTCAGTGAGGAAGAGGGAGCAGAAGAGCCCCGAGCCCTGGTGGCGTCTCCCTGGCTTGTTTTGCCCCCGCGGCTTGCTCAGCAGTCCCCCTGGTCCCGCGTGCTGAGAGGTGTGCCTGGTCACTGGGATCCGAGGCAGGTTTCCAGGGTGGAGGGACTGGGGTCTGTGTGCCAACCCTGGTTTCACAGATGTTCTGTTTTCCTGCTAAACGTTCACCATCAGGAACGACCTGGCGGGCGGCTCTCCTGCAGGCCCTCGGGTGGGTATGTTTGCTCTGGTTCCAGGGACTGCACCCAGGGGCACTGACCCACCGAGCCGCACTCGGAGCCCTTTTTATATTTTATTTAGAGACAAGGTCTCGCTGAGTTGCTTAGGGCTTCGATAAGTAGCTGAGCCTGGCCTCCAACTTGCTATCCTCCTACATCAGCCTCCCAAGTTGCTGGGATGATAGGGGTGGCCACCACGCCCGATCATGTAGCGGTGGGGGATCCTACAACACTGGACCCCGGGGGCAGGCAGGGGTGTCCATTGCAAGAGCTGGGACATGCTCCCGGTCCCCCCAGGGCTTTGCCAGATGCATCCCCAGCCAGGATCCTGCTCCCTACTGCCAGCCACCTTCCCCGGTGACAGGAAGCCATTGCTTTGTTACTGTCCCACTTCCCTCCTTGGTGTGGACCCCACCGGCCGGCCTTGGCTGTGTGCTTTCTGAGCTGCTATGCGCCTTCTCTGGTCACTGTTTTCTACCGATTTTCCTTTTCCCTTTTCTCGTTTCAGCCTTTCTCTGTGAGGTGTGAATCACAATGCGGGGGACAGTAACGGTCACGGTACAACCCGCTGGCCCTCCTGGCCGTCCCTCACCTTGGTGCCGGCCGCGTTTCGGGTCAGCTCTCTCCCACTGCAAGGAACCTTCCTGTGCGTTGTGGGGTGCCCGGCTGCACCCTGGCGTCTGCCCAGGTACTGCAGCACCCCTTCCCCAGTTGTGACCCCTGCAGATGCCCCTGGCCACTGCCCCTGTCTCCTGGGAGGCCAGGCCGGCGTGGTTGAAGAGCCCTGACTTACCGTGTCAGAGCGGCCACCTGGGCCAGCCTCAGCACCTCGTCTCTAGCTGCAGACGTGCCCCCCCTTGGCTTCCAATCGGAGACCCTCCCTCTCCTACTGGGGGGACGTGGGGGGCGTCACCACCGAGCCTCAGTCTCCCCAGCTGTGAAGTGGGGATAAGCACCCAGAGGTGATGGAGGCGGTGGCAGCTCGCGACCCCCGACGCCGCCCTGCCCCTTGCCCCGATGACGTCACTGGGAGCCACCTGGCCTCCAGCGAGGCCTACTGTGTGCAGGGCGCTGGGCGCTGCGTGAGTGAGAGCGGGACAGACAAGGTCCCCTGAGCCGCGGAGGAGCCAGAGCAGACAGAAGGGCGGCCCTCGTGACCCTCGTGTCCGACCGGGTCCTTGCCCGGACAGACGCCTGGGTGGGGGATGGGCTTTAGAGACAGAGAGGAGGGGACCCGTGAGCCCAAGGGACCAGTGAGCCGAGAGCACAGGGAGCGCAGAGGCGGCCTGAGGGCAGGGCCAGCGCTGGCCTGAGCTGAGCAGGCCTTGGCTCTCTGGGGAGCGGGAGGCAGGTGCGGTGGGCGGGGCGGACAGTAGTGGGCGTGGCAGGAGCGCAGTGGGCGGGGCAGGAGAGGTGGGCGGGGCGAACGGGGCAGGGAAGTGGGCGTGGCAGGAGTGCGGTGGGCGGGACAGGGAAGTGGGTGGGGCGCGGCATAGGGGCAGGTGCGGTGGGCGGGGCGCGGCACCAGGTGAAGTCTGAGGCCCAGGGTGGCCTGAGTGGAGGGAGCCGGGGCAGGTGACAGTGGCCTGGAAAAGCCAGGCAGGCCTTTGGACTGTGCCCTGAGGGTAAAGGGGAGCCCTGGGCGCTCCAGCAGGACAGGGTGATTAGGTTGCTTCTGGCTCTAGCTGCAGGGAACAGTTCGTTCATTTCTGCAGACAAAAGGGGAGTCCTGCTGAGTGCCAGGCGCTGACCTGATTCCCACAGGGCGGGGCCAGCGAGGGCCTGATGGAGCCCGTCTGCAGAGCTTCCCTAGCCAGGGGCAGGCCGGGGCAGCAGGGGAGGCCGGAGGGGCCGGTGGAGTTCACCAGGGAAGGAGAAGGGCAGGGCGGGGGAGGGAGGGGGCGTCTGGAGGGCCAGCAGGTGGGCAGAGAGGGGGACTGGGAGGAGGTGGGCAGAGAGGGGGACTGGGAGGAGGTGGGCAGAGAGGGGGGGACTGGGGAGGAGGTGGGCAGAGAGGGGGATTGGGGAGGAGGTGGGCAGAGAGGGGGACTGGGGAGGAGGTGGGCAGAGAGGGGGACTGGGGAGGCCCAGAAGGAGAAGACGCTGAGGTCAAACATGGCACCTTGGCCTGCATGTCCTTAGGCCGGCCACGTGGAGATGGGGAGCAGGGACTTGGACACGGGTCCAGCTCCCAGGGACTCCCTGGACAGTTAGTCTGGCCTTCCCGTGTGGAGGGCTGCGCAGACCCCTGCTGGAGCTTGCAGAATGCGGGCCTCCGGCACCTAGTATATTCCAGGACCTGTGCTGTGGTCCCGTGGTTACCCCCCTCCCACAAGCCTTCTTCCTGTGGATTTGGTTTGCCGGGTGTGCACCTACCCAGGTGATCAGGGAAAGGTACACCTACCCAGGTGATCAGGGAAAGGGAACATTCCCCTTCCCAGCCTCAAAGGGAGTGTTATGGTCTAGGCCAATGGTAGTGATTTTTTCCCACCATCAGTGATTGATTTGTAACTCCACATGTGATCGATCTGAACCATTGGGGAGTCCGTAGGGGAATCTCTCATAAAAGGAGATGCATGGAAGGAAATATCCCTCCTCTTCTTTACTTGATATCATCATGTCTGTGTGTGATGCCTGGAGCTGCAGCAGCCATATAGAAACCTTGAGGAGAGGTATCTATAATTAATTCCCCAAGAATGACAGGCCAGGAAAATGGGAAGGGTGTGAGTCCTGGGTTACAGCTTCAGGCTTCCAAACTGAACAGCCCTGTTAGACTAAATTATAAATCCTCTCTCTCTCTCTCTCTCTCTCTCTCTCTCTCTCTCTCTCTCTCTTTCTACCTTTAGTCAAGAGTTTTTTTTTTTTTTTTTTTTTTTATTGGGCTGAAGACATTCTAACTAAAAAGGGCTTCCTATGCATTATCTCATTTAACCCTCTCAGTGGTTCTCTTTGAGGCTGATTTTTCGAGTGAAGAAATGGAGATCCAGGGCAGTTACATGATTTTCCCAAGGTCACAAAGACAGGCAGTTGCCGGCCGGTCTAATTTGAGAGCGCAGCTGGGCTCTAGCAGCCTCCCTCTCCTCTCAGCAGTCTTTCCTTCACACGTTTTTGGTAGGAGACCCTAACCCTGTTCTTTCTTTTCCCTGGTGTTAGTTTGGTGGGAGCCGTGGGGGGCTGCGTTGCTCTGCACAGTGAAGGGCCTGGACCGCTGTTTCTGGCTCCCGCGCTCTGAGCTGCCACTGGCTGCACAGTGTCATCAAGTCATTTCCTATGTAAACAGCTGTCTGGCACCGCGTCAGCGAGTCACAGTGAAAATGAAACCTCCTTCCCAGCCTGCAACCTGCCCCTCAGTGAGGAAGGATGGGGGCAATGTCGGAGTGCTCAGAGCTTATCAGGATGCGGAACGAAGGACGAAGGACGCTGTTAAGTGGGTTTGTCCTTAAAGTGACTTCCTAGTGTAATTCATGAGCTGCTGGCCAGAACATGAGGCACATCCTTCGAAAGCACAAGGGAACCCAAGGAAGGCGAGGAGGGGAGGAGGGAAAGGAGAGAAGCTTCCATCCTTGTCCCTTGTGGGATCCTTAGAAAGGGTTAATATCCTTCATATACAAAGAGTTTTTGGGAAACAATAGGAAATGGCAAACCCCTTATTATAAAATCAGCTATTTACCGAGGCGAATGCAAATGTGAAGACAAGCTCTGCTCTGCCAGGAATCAAGGAAATGCAAATCAGAGCTGCAGTGACTTATCATTCCTGCCTATCAGATTGGCAAAGACCAAAAAAAAAAAAATGTGGGTGTGGGGAATGGACCTTCTCATTGTGTGCTGAAGGGGCCATCCAAGGGCCTGGGGCAGAGCAGCAGGGTCCAGCATGGTGCTCAGTGGCCAGCAGTGTTAAAGCAACCTAGAAATGGACCTCTGGGCACTTATCCCAGCAGATAGCCGGTGTTCTCCAGGACAGGCGTCCACGGCAGCGTTGTTTATAAAAGTCAAAGACTGGGGCGGGGGATGGGAATGCCCGCTGCAGAGGGTTCGGCCAGCTCCCGGTGCCCGTGTGATGAAATCCCTATTAAATCGTACTGATTAAATTGCATTAACCGTATGGAAAGTAATAATTAAAAATGGCACCACAGAGCGCGCGGGGACCTCCTGTAAGACGGCTCTTCTGTGCACAAACCGAGCGTGTGCTGGGTCTCGTGCATGTGCCAGGCGGTGCCCCAGGGAGGAGGCTGCAGGTTCTCATGCAGCCTGCTCAGGGCGGTGACAGGCCGGCCCTCACAGTTCTCTGCTCCAGGGGCTGGGCCACCGTCAGCCGGGCCTGTTTTTTGTTTTGAAACAAAGTTGCTGATCCATGAACATGACTCTGTAACATCCCCGGTACTGACCAGGAGTGCCCCGTGGTGCTGGGTCGTTTCTACCTGCTCGGGATTTAGGATTCAGTAAGCCGGGCACGGAGGGGCAGCCTGGAATCCCAGCAGCTCAGGAGGCTGAGGCAGGAGGATCGCTAGTTCAAAGCCAGCCTCAGCCTCAGCCTCCGTGAGGCGCTCAGCAACTCAGTGGGACCCTGTCTCTAAATAAAATGCAAAATAGGGCTGGGGAGGGCCCCTGAGCTCAATCCCTGGCACCAAAAACAAATAAAAATCCATACTTAATACCCCCTCCTCGTGGGTCGCGAACACAGGCCCCGGGAGGTTTCGGGGGCAAGAGGAGCTCAGCTCCTTCAGCAGGCAGAGCCCCCACCCAGAACTGGGGGCAGCGTCCAGGGTGCTCGGAAGACGGCGGCTCCCCAAGGGGCCAGAGCTGGAGGAGCCGCTCCTGGGGTTCCTCCCTGCAGCCCGCCAGCCCCCGGCGTGTCCCCGAGGTGACCGTGGGGTCAGCACGCCCCAGGTGGGGCCTGAGGCACTGCGGGTGGGCAGGTGACCCCAGGCCCTTTGTCCCCTGTCCTCATTCCTGCTCCCACAAAAAGCCAGGGAGCCACAGGGCAGGGTGGGGTGGGGTGCGCCATCCCACAAAGCCTCCCCCAGCCTGGCAGGAGGCCCCAAGGGGAGGCTGAGTGCAATTTGTAAACAAAATAAAACAAAAATAAATGAATAAATAAACAATAAAACAYGACAGACTCCTCAGCTGTGGTTGGTGGACGGGACTCACCTGCCACAGGTGCGGGGTCCAGGCCTCTGTCTGTGAACATCAGAGAGGTTGGGTCACTTGCCCAACGCTGCACAGCTCAGAAGGGCAGGCTCCAGGCCTGTGCTGCGGGTCCCCAGGCTGCTGCGGGGATGCTGGGGGAGGGTCCGTCCCCAGGGCCTGGGCAGCCCGGCCTGGGGGGGGGGGCTCGGAACGGAAGCTGGAGGTTTGGGCACCGTGGGTCCCTGGGTGGGCAGAGGGCCGGCAGGACGGGCTCTTCAAGGTCGTCTCCCTGGGCTGGGGGCCTGAAGGTCAGGTGCACTGCAGCTCCCGAGCGCAGAGAGGCCCAGGGATTGGCCGGCGGCCACCAGGGTGCTGGGGTCAGTCGGGCCACACCGAGGGAGCTGGGTAGGGGGCGGGACAGGGCCTGGTGGCTTCCCGGGCTGGAAGGAGCGGCCTCCGTGTTCCTCTCACCCCACCTCCCGGCCACATCACCAGCTTTGGGCCCCCGTGACCGCTCACAGGCAGCCAGGTGTCCTCGCCTCCGGGCCACCCCCAGGGTCCTGTGTGGCCACCCCCAGGGCCAGGCCCCACCTCTCCTGCCTGGACAGGCCTCTGACCTTCCCACTTCCAGCCTCACCTGAGCCTCTCCCCAGGCAGCGAGGGATCCCGGAGCACCAGGGGGTGTCCCCCTCTACCTACCACCTTCCATGGCTCCCAACTCACTCAGGGGAACAGGCCAACTCCCCCACCGGCCCGAGGCCCCGCCAGCTCATTGCCCACCGTCCAGCACCTGACCCTGCTGACCTGCAGCTCCAGCCCAACCAGGTGACCTGCCGTTTCTGTCCAGCCTCCCGACCTCTCTCCAGGCTCTACCCAGAGCCTGCGCACAGGTTTTCTCTCTCTTCTTCATTTAAAGGTCACGGTGGGGTTCTCGTGACCCGAGACGAAGCATTTTAAGGTGAGGGGGCCAGGCCCGTGGCAGAGCCTGCCATCCCGTCGCTCAGGAGGCTGTGGCAGGAGGATTGCAAGTTGGAGGCCAGCCTCAGCAACGTAGTGAGACCCCATCTCAAAATAAAAAGTAAAAATGAAAAAGGGCTGGGGGTCAGCTCCGTGGTGACCATTCCTGGGGTCACCCCCAGGACCGAGAGGAGAAAGAAAGAGAATGAGGAGGCCACGTAACCTGGTGGCGCAGCAGGCACAAAGGTCCTGGGGTGGAAGTGGGCCGAGTGGGCTCTGGAGCTACACAGGGCGCCAGCTGAGGTGAGGAGATGACCAGGGCCTTGGAGACTGTGCTAGGACCCGGGGGGACATCCCAAGATAGGGGGAGCCTTTGGGGGCTTTTCCCCAGGGGAGGGCGTCACCTGCCCCTGTGTGGAGGAGGGACACTGGGGACAGGGCAGGAGGGGAGCCCAGGAGGAGCCACCGCCGTGGTCCTGGGAGCGAGAGTGGGGGACGGCGTGGGGCAGGCAGGGCCTCCTCAGCGGAGGTCAGAGGGGACAAAGCCAGAGACCCGTGTCCCGGCAGGGGGCGTGCCTGCTGGAGAGCCGGGTTCCAGTCCTGCTGCAGGGGCAGAGCAGGAAGGGGAAGGACCTGGGGACAGCTTGGTGGCAGCGGCCTCCGGTGGACATCGGCACTTTATTAGGATACTTAGGCACAAGAGGGGCCACCTGCTCCCGGCTCCCAGGGGAAGGGCTGCCTGGTCTTCAAGTCCCGGGACCTGCCCACATGCAGGCCACCCCCGGCTCCCGGGGCTCCCGGGGACCGTCCTCCCCCGACGCCGCTGTGGAAGGGCCGTGYGGCGAGCCCCTCTGCCCACAGCCGCCCACTCTCTGCCTCGGGCCCAGCCCGGCCCCTTTTGGAGCCGGGGCCTCCAGCCAGGCAGCTGGCCGCTCAGACCCCGCCCTGCCCTGCTCCCAGGAGGGGACCCAGAGCCCAGGCCAGGCCCTGTCCAGGCCCCCGGCCCTCGGGCGCAGCCACGACAGCCCTGGGACGACTCCAGGCACACGGGAAAGGGGCACTGACGTCCCCCTGGGCTGCTGGGCCAGGAGGGTGGTGGACGGAGGCCCAGCCGTGGGGATGGCAGCTGGAGTGACAGGCCGGGGGTGTTAGGGTGCTGGGGGCCGCTCCGCCCGGTGCTCCGCGGACACTGATTTATTCAGTCCTCCAGAGAGACGGGTCGTGAGCTCACCAGAGCACCTGGATCCAGCTGTGCCTGAAGCAAGTCATCCCTGGAATTTTTTTTTATGTGACCTAATAAATTCTTCTGCTTAAACTGGTTTAGTTGGGTTTTGTCCCTCTCGACTGAGGGAGCCCTGACTAATCCTCCTGCCTCCCGGACATGACCTGGGCTCCTATCTCCCCATCATGACTGGAGCTGCTGCCCGCCGCGCCCACTAACTGTTCTGCCCCTCTGACTCACAGGCTCCTCTGGGTCCCTCCTTCCCACACGGAGGCGTGGGACAGTGGACCTGGGGCGGGACGTGCACACCCCTGTTCCAGGAAGGGGCTCCACGGTTCCCTTGGCCCAGCAGAGGCCTGGGGACCAGCGGGTGATGACCAGCTCACCGCCCGGCCAGCCCGGCTGCTCTGTGCAGGGGTGACCTCACCGCGTCCCCCCAACTGGCGCCCAGCCTCCCCTGCCCTGAACCCCCGCAGCAGGAGTGTGGTGCCTGCTGGGACGGTCACTGCTGCCCTGGCCCCTGCGCTGACCCCCAGATGCTCTGCCTCCGCCTCCAGCCCCGGCCCCCACAGGCCACCGTCCACGGGCCACAGGAGTCCTGTGAGACCTGGGCCGGGCGGGGTCTGCGTGGCTCCCCCCACTCAGCCGTGACCAGCGTCCTCACCGCAGCCCTCAGGCCCGCRGGTGGCACGCTCCTGGTGGCCTCCCTCCCTTGCCCTGGGCACTTGGCTGCGCTGGCCTCTGTCACTCGGCTCCTCTACCCCAGAAGTCGCTYGCTGGCGTCTCGGCTGAAGCGTGGGCTGCCGTGACGGCGCCCAGCGACGGTCCCTCTGTGCCAGCCTCGGCCCTGCCCTGAGCCTTCAGGGTCCTCCTGTGACCTGGGATGGTGGCCACACGCTCCTTGGCCCATGGGGTCTCTCCTGGGACGTCAGCACCAGCCCGGAGCCTGCGTGGACAGGGCCCAGGCGGCGGCTGGCGAGTGGAGGGTGGGCAGCCGGAGGGCGGTGGCTTGGCCAGCTGGGGGCCTGCAGGCCCGGCTGCCCTGCGCTCCACGGCCCCTGTGGACTCAGGTCGGCCTCCTCAGGGAGGCCAGCCTCCAGGGGCTCTGGGTGGCTCTCCTGGGGCCACCACCTTCCAGGGTTCCCGCCCGCAGGTTGCTGGGGCACGAGGACAGAGCAAGGCCTCGGGTCCTTCTGAGGGTCCCACCTCTCCAGCCCCCGCAGGGTCCCCTTCTCCTAACTGCAAGGCCAAGAGTCAGGGCAGCTCCCCACCCTGCAGACGCAGGGTTCCGGAACCTTCTGGGTGGACTCGGCTGCCCCTCGGTTTCCTCCTCTGTGGCTGGAAGCCACCGCAGAGCCTCCTCAGCTCCGGGATTATTTTTAAAAGGACCAAACAGGGAAGTGTCAGCACAGGTCTCCTCTAGCTTCTCAGGCTGTGGGGAAGGGGGACAGTCCCAGGCCTCAGAACCAGGGTTCCTGGAGCTGA